CTGGCTTTTCTTCCTGCTTCTGACCTGAGCTCAATTCAAAGGAAAATAAACCAATTCTCATAACTGTAGCCAAAGGCAGGGCAAGCAACAGGACATGTAGACTCAGCAGATATACATGAAGATGGCAAAGGCGGCCACAGGGGAGGGGCAGGAGGAGGGGTTCTTGCCTAATGCAGAGTCCCATTGTTTGTAATAAGAAAGGGGGCAAATCAGTGCAAGGTATCAGCTGTCCAGATTATTGACACTGTAAGATAACTCCCTCAGTAAGGAGCCTAGGGAGCAATAAACCCTACTTCCTCTCTATTACCCTTACGCCCATCTTTTCCCTTCCCTTCTCTACCACGTAAGAATGTGGCCAAGAGAGAAAACTCAGGTCATTGGTGTATATTCCTGATACTCTAGGAATAAACACAGGAAAGGATCCCTGATGTCTGCAGGATCCATGGGGTGAAAGGTCCTTAAGATTGGCAAAAATAGCAGAGTGGTTCTGAATTTAGTATTTAGAGATTAACCAAACCAAAAATGCACAAGATCTGTAGGCAGAGAACTAAAACTCTAATAAATGACAAAGGTGGTCTAAATAAATGGAAAGCATTCCAAGCTCTTAGAGGAGATAAGTTAATATGAAAGTGTCGATATCCCCAAATCAATCAATACCGTTCAATGAAATACCAATGAAAATTTTAAGTTTCTGAGGAACTTATCACACATATACCAGAATTTATATAGAAGGATAAAGTTCCACAAGTAGCTGAGACAACCCTTAAATGGAGAATAAAGACAGAAGACTTAAACTACCAGATATGAAGACCAGCCTCAGAGCCATCATATTAAAACCAGAGAAGTCTGAGCACAAGAACAAATAAACCAAGGAGATAAAGAGCTGAGAGACAGAGCTCAGATATGCAAACCTAATGTACAAGAAAGCTGGCACCAGAGGTCAAAGGGGGAAAGAATGGAGTTTCGTAGATGTTGGTGGAAAAACTGACTCCTCATATGGACAAAACAAAGCTGGATCTTCATGAAACATCATTTATGATGGTAAATATCAGATTAGAAGCCCAAATGTGAAAGATAAAATCATGAAGCCAATAAAAGAAAATGTAGGTGTACATCTTGGTGACAAGGGTCAAGAAGGCCTTCTTTAAAACACAACTTGAAAATCATAAACCAGAATGCAAGAAAAGAAGATAAATTTGAATATTAAAAGAGCAAGGTTTTATACTCAAGGGAGGATATCACATATAATATTAACAGATGGATGACAAGATAGGAAGAAATATTTAAAATGTCTACACCTAACAAGGGATTGATATCTAGAATACAGAAAGAACTTCACATATCAACAAGAAAACTTGGTACCTGCAATATAAAATGGGCAAAGAACATAACTAGGCAAAAGAAGAAGAAAGAAGAAGAAGAAAGAAGAAAGAAGAAGAGGTGGAGGAGGAGGAGGAAGGAGAAGGTGTGTGTTTGTGTGTAGATAAGTAGATAGAGATGGAGGAGGAGGAGGAGGAGAAGGAGGAGGAGGAAGAAGAAACCCAGTAAACAGGCAAATAAAGGGATGCTCAAGCTCATTAATTATCAGAGAAATGAGCTAAATAAACTAAAACAACAATGAGCTATCATTGACAAAAAATTCGGTAGCTGAATAATGGCAAGAGCTGGCAGGAATAGAGAAATCCTCAAGGAGTGTTGGTGGGACTGTGGAGCAACTGCTCTGGAGAAGGACATGAGAGTCCTCCTAAGACTCTGTCTATGCACTCCCTTTAACAGACCAGAAATTCTCCCCGTGCACATAACCCAAAGAAATGCCACACAGGGGGACAGGTAAGAGATGCTGGTGTCGTTAGCAGTGATGAGGAGTTGGAGGCATGAGGAGGTGGAGGGCATCTCTACAGAAGCAGATGGACAGTGTCCTGCACCATGGAGTGTGCAGCAGACGAAGCCGGCTCTAGAAGCAGACAGAGGACTGTGGATGGCTCCCAAGACCATGCTGAGGGAGCTAAGTAAACTGAGCAAGACATATAGCCATTTGTGTCACTTAAAAAATCTATACAATTTTATGTACAGATAAAACATATACACACTGTTCGAGAATACAGATTAAAAGAACACATTAGAATGGTCACCTATCAGAGAGAAAAGGAATAGGAATTGAGAAAAGAATGAAAATGAGCCGAAACCGGTTTGGCTCAGTGGATAGAGCGTCGGCCTGCGGACTGAAAGGTCCCAGGTTCGATTCCGGTCAAGGGCATGTACCTTGGTTGCGGGCACATCCCCAATGGGAGATGTGCAGGAAGCGGCTGATCGATGTTTCTCTCTCATCGATGTTTCTAACTCTCTATCTCTCTCCCTTCCTCTCTGTAAAAAAATCAATAAAATATATTAAAAAAAATGAAAATGAGTGAATGGAGGGCCCTGTGATGATAATGTGCCACCAATGGAGGAGTATGTTTAATTCAATCTCTCTATATCTGAGATCCAAATAGAGAATAGAAAGGAGAGGATAAAGGCTCTGCACCTATATTTATCTGCTGCCATCCACTCCCTGGCAACTGGGCTATTTGGAAAATACCAGCAGGTGACCGACATTATTTATGGCCATGCCCTGTACCCCATGGGTGCTGCAGACCCTGAGAGAAATTTCAAAATGAAAGAACCAAATTCAGAAGTGTCCCAGAGAAATTTCCTTTTGCTACCTACCCATTCCAGCTCTGTGATAAAATGCTGGCATTCAAATTCCCACCAAAACATTTTCTAGAAAGAGAATGCTAGACATTTGAAGTTTGGTTACTGAAGGTAAAAAGAGCAATGCCTCACTCTTAAATTCATATCAGATTGACTTCCTAACTTTAAAATAATTTTCATTGTGGTATAGACAGAAAAAGAGTTGCAGAATTCAGACCCTGGGCAAGGAGCACTGGGAGTGGGGGTGGGGTGAAAATGCAAATAACTGCAATGGTAGAATCAGCTGACAATGCTCACCAATGGAATCAGGGTCATCTTTCAAATCAATTAGTACTTATCTCAAGCAGAGAGAAGGAAGTTCTTAAGACCATAGTTACAAGGAAACTTCAGGTTGGGGGGGGGTCTCCATTCCTATGCCTCTGATTCCCCTCAATTCTTGGGTCCTTATAAGGAGTATGTCTCAGGGATATGGTATGGACATCTGTTACTTTGGCTTGCTTGTTACCTAGCCTCTCTTATCCTAGTGTGTTCCCTGATTTCCCTCTGGCAAACAACTCTGCTCCCGTTTTATGCAGAAACTGTCAATCAAAGTGTCTTGATTTGCCCTGGCTGGGCCCCAAGCTAGACCAACTTGATGCTACCTTCCCTGAGGAATCTGAATTCTCAGAAGAGTGAGGCAAGAACTAAAAACAGTTTAGAGTTGTATCATCCCGCAAATATCACCGAGGAGACCCTGTCTCATTAGTTCCTGGGTCTCCAGAGATGGAATGTTTTCAAGCCCGCTTCTTCAGTTCTTCCTGCTTTACTGTGAGTTACCCTACAGCCTTCTATAGTCCTACGTGATTATTACTATTGCTTTTGCTATTGTTATTTTACCCAAGTTATCCAGAGTTTATTTCAAGCACTGTAAAACAATCCCACCTGATGAAGAGGGAAAGAAAAAATGACTTTTTTCCTTGAATTCTTACTTGAAAAACTTTTTTCTTGTTCAATTATTGAGAGAAAAAGGAAAAAAACAAAGAAACATTGTTTCTTGTACTAAAGGTCTCCACCTACCAAAAGCCATCATTCTAAATTACTTAATATCTCATATAAAACTCCTAGGAAAGCCCTGGCTGGTGTGGCTCAGTTGGTTGGAGCACTGTCCCATACACTGAAAGGTCATGGGTTTGATTCCCAGTCAGAGCACATACCCAGGTTATAGGTTCCATACCCAGTAGGGATGCATATGGGAACAGGAGGCAACCAATCTCTCTCTCTCTCTCTCTCTCTCTCTCTCTCTCTCTCCCTCCCCTTTTCCTTCCTCTCTAAAATCAATAAAAACATTTTCTCAGGTGATGATTAAAAAACAAAACAAAACAAAAAATTCCTGGTACAATTTGGTTTTTTGAAAGAGTGAAAATCTCTGTCCTATAATAGATTTCACACAGATAAAATAGCTCATCCTTTTGCCCACATGGGCAGGCACTGTTTTTACTGATTTTTTCTGACATGACTGGAATTCATGGTAAGGCTACCTTTGAATTTTTTTCCCCCAAGTAAATTTGACAAAGCAAATCTGAGGAAAGGGGACAGAATTTCCTTTGTACTCTTGTAGCAACCTGGAAGGAATGTGTTTTTTCTCCTGCACACCAAGGAGATAATCAGCCCAAACACCCTAGCAGCAGCAGTTTTGTTTTAATCCCCTCGTCTTTACAAGGCTGCAGGTGCCCTTGGAAATCATGATTAACCAAAGTGCTCAGAGCCAGCATCAGGGAACATGTCCTGTATATTCTACGGAGGCTGCCCAGGGTCACTCTCATCAAAGAGGAATATTATTACAGAGCTCGCTGTCTCCACTCCTCCTCTCCAAAGAAGCAACAAAGAACACTAAGCAATCACTGAGATAGCTATTGCCTCTCCAGTCCTTTGAGCAAGACAGTGTGGGAGGCAAAGTCAATTCTGGCTTTCTCATAGGCAGGGTTCTTTGGGAGCTGAGTATGATTGGATTAAGTGACTTTTAAGTGATGATTGGAGCTACATTCTTAAGAGGACCTAGGATTAACTGAGACAAACTAATGTACATGAAAATGTTCTGTATAGTGTGAAGGGTTATATAATGCAGTGTTGTTACAGTCCTGCCAGTCAGGCTCACTGAATGTCCTGGAGTCACAGATGTGTCAGGGTGGAAGCCTGTCAGGCTGCACTGGGGGGAATGGGGCAGACCCAACATGCCCACAGCACCTCCTGGTGGCTCTTCTCTGGAGTAGCAACTTCTCAAAGCCCAATCCCAACCCCAACCACAGAAAACTATCAACCACAGTACTTACTTCCTTCATTCTGACTGTCTTTATTCGAGTTGTAGACCTGGAAAACAGAAATAACATTTACTTGTGTGCATTTTATATCACCCTACAGGTTCACTGAAAAATACCCACCAATACCTTCCCCCTTTCCCTAGTTTGGGCTATAAGATAGGAGGCAATTTCTAGCTAGCCCCTAAATATGAATCCCGTCTATAATTATCTAGTTCCCAGTATTTACTTCAATTGTTCTTAAGTGGTTGTGCATTAGAATCATCTGTGGAACTTTATTGTATAAAAAAAATCATATTCTTTAAAAAACAAACCATGTGTGTATATAAAACTAAAAAGGAGAGAACATTTAAAATTATTTATAAATCATTAAGCACTAACTGTGCACTAGGCAATGTGATAAGCAATTCACATGAATTACCTCAAATTATCCACAAAACAATCCTGTTGGGGAGGAACTGTTATTGCCACTGTTTTACAAATGGAGAATTGAGAGTTAGAGATGTTAACTAAGGCCTCACAGCTAGTAAGTGGCAAATTCATGACAAAGATACATTACAAACCATTCAGTGTTAACACTGGGGAAAGGGACCAATCATTTTTTTTGCCTTACAGGCTTTTGTAAATTTGAATTTTATAAGGAGAATATATTACTTTTACAATAGAAACCCCTAAACGACTTACAGGAATCATGAAAGGGCAAGTGCCCCACATAAAAAAGACAGTGATATATTGCAAGATTCGGGAAGTTTTTTTGTAAAGGACCAGACATAATTAAATATTGTAGGCTTTGTGGGCCAGGAGGCAAAATAAATGATATTATGTAGGTAGTTGTGTAACAAGAGAGAAAACAAACTTCCACAAATTTTTTTGTTGATAAAATTCAAAATATATATATTTTTTCAAAATAGAGGTATAACATTCCTAGCAGGTAAACATCCCTTTTAGGCAGTGGTTCTCAACCTTCTGGCCCTTTAAATACAGTTCCTCATGTTGTGACCCAACCATAAAATTATTTCCGTTGCTACTTCATAACTGTAATGTTGCTACTTTTATGAATCGTAATGTAAATATCTGATATGCAGGATGGTCTTAGGCGACCCCTGTGAAAGGGTCATTCGACTGCCAAAGGGGTTGTGACACACAGGATGAGAACCGCTGGCTTTTCGGGTTTCCTGGCTCGCTTTTCATGGCTCAGTTCCTCTAAGAGTTAAACAAATGATTCTCAAGCAAGAGTGGCCATCAGACTCACTTGAAATATGTTGTTGTTGTTCTTTTTTAAGGTTTTGATGGCCAGCATCCCCCTATGCTTTTTCACACCTACAGATCATAATCACCAGATTTGGGCACTATGATATTTTTCTAAAGCACGGGCTTTATCTTATGTAATAAATGTCAGCATGTCATGTATTGGCAAACTATGGCCCACAGGCCAAATCCAGCCCACCACCTGCTTTTGTATAGCCCATGAGCTACCCCTGGTAACTACAGATGAACATTTGCAATTGATTTGATGATAGGAAACCTTGAACCTTAATTAAGCTAAGTGTTATCCTCCCTCTAAAACTACTCCGTTCTTCTGACTAGTAGACCAGTATTTCAAAGACTTCAACTCTTTGGGAAAGATATTCTTTCTGTACCGAGATAACATGGTTGCCCAGTCTCCCTCAGCAGTACCTCCACCATCATCAATATAAGTGAAGAATTTAGACTAGATCATGCTTTCCAAATTGAACCCCACAGCCCCTGCAGTAGGACTACCAGAAGGGCTGGGAGAGAAGCTAAGACTCCAAGTATCCAAATGTCCTCCTTCCCTCGCTTTATTCATGTAACTATCAAATAGGGGGATACTGTCTTGAAAAGTTTGAAGACCTCTTGAATGGGTAATTTCTAAAGTTACTTGCAATTCATTAATTTGCTTATTCATTCATGCATCTAACAAGTATTTATTATGTGCTTATAATGGCCAGGCAGTGTTCTAGATGCTAGGGGTACAGATGAACATAACAGCTATAACCTCTGCTTCCTGGAACTAGCCTTTGGGGAACTAAACAGAAATAAACAGAGACACAAATATGATATTCAAATATTGATAAGTACAGTCGAGGAAATAAAAGACTACTGCGAACCTGAGGTGGGGAAAAGGTGACATTTGCATGAGACCTGAATGATGAGAGGACCTCCTTGGAAAGACCTGGGGGCCAGTGCCAACAGCAAGTGCAGGTCTTGCGATGGGAAAGGCATGGTCTTTTGGAGCGAGGAAGGCCAGTATGGTCAGCAATCATTGTAAGTAGGAACTAAGGATGGGCAGAGGGGCAGTGATGCAATCTTACAGGGCCCTGTGACCTGTTAGGGAAATGAGAGGCCTCGTAATAGCTGGGACCAGCGATCCATGGTGAATGGGGCTCACTAACCTTGGGAAGTTGGGTAAGAAAAGTGCAGAGAAAGAGACCATATTTTGGCAATTTTTTTTCCCCAGCCATCCCTCTCATTAAATTCAAACATTTTATCCCAGAGACACTTGCTCCTGTTTATAAATAAATTTAAAAAATCCAGAAGAAATAGCAAAATGCAAGGCTTTCAGCCCTCCTTAATTAGGAGGTGAGTTTGCACCAAACAGGTTTCCTGGTCTCAGGAGACCACTGTCTGGAACAACCTAGCACTCCCCAAATTGGAGAGGTGTGATCAATGAGCCAAAGGCACCAGAAACATGTGCTGCCTGATCCTCTGAGGCCAGGCCATTAATCTCTGTCTAGTTTGGTAAATGAGCCAAAGAGAATGAGTTCTGAAATGAAGCTAATAAACCGTGCCCGCCAGGAGTGTGTGACTACATGGCCCAACCAGGAAGGCCCGGGGTCTAACAGTGATGGCGAACCTTTTGAGCTCGGCGTGTCAGCATTTTGAAAAACCCTAACTTAACTCTGATGCCGTGTCACATATAGAAATTTTTTATATTTGCAATCATAGTAAAACAAAGATTTATATTTTTGATATGTATTTTATATATTTAAATGCCATTTAACAAAGAAAAATCAACCAAAAAATGAGTTCGCGTGTCACCTCTGACACGCGTGTCATAGGTTCGCCATCACTGGTCTAGGAGGAGCCTTGCCTCCACAAAGGCCAGACAGTGCCAAGGTAAGAGGGTTGTATCCTCTTATCTCGAGGAAAGTGAGGAGGGTAAGGAAAGCTTTCACATGCTTCCTCTGCACTAAGAAAACTAACAGCATTAACAGAGAATGTCTTTATTACTCAACCTTTACCAAGTACCCACATGACATTATCCTTGAAACCACCTTATGGGTTAGGTACTAGCGTTATTCCCAGTCTATAGATGTGGACCTTGAGGCCCAGAGAGGTTACACTGTTTGTCCAAGGACACAGAGCTGGGAGGTGGCATACTATTCTATCTTGCCCCTACAGGGATACTCCAGTCTTCTTTTAATTTCCAGGCAGTTGCAAATGCACATAACTACCAAGTCACCCCAGTGGTCTGCGGTTCATAAATACCTTCCATACTGGCAGAGGCAAAGGGTATGCAATTTACCTTTAGAAATAGTCAGTCTGTTCTGGGAAAATCTTCTTCTATAGAAAATCAGTTGCCCAATAGTCTCAGACTGAAGTTCAAAGGCAAGGGCACTTTCCTAAAATGAAAGGTCTCTAGCAGTGGCTCCTGGCTCATGATTAGCAGAGCTATCTCAGATTATATACTTTCAAGTAAGCATCTCCAGACCCTTTGTTTTAAAAGGACACACCCAATTCTACAGGATCAATTCAAGGGGCCATGAATCACTAAATAAGCCTGAATATGGCTCCTAGGAAGACTGATCACTTAATACATTTTCTCAACAACCCAACAGAAGCTATAGTCTATCTGTCCTGACTAGCCATAGTACTCTGAGACCTGGCCACACTAAAGTTTCTTAGCCTTCTATCTTTATACACTTTGATGTAGGTATGATCTAGCTTCTGCTGAACATCAAGATTTATTAAATATCCACGCCAATGCATGTTTGTTTTCAGGTGGGTGCTTCTAGAGAATAGAAGCATGTTCACCTTATCAGGATCCATATGAATGTCATTATGTTATAATTGCAACAGTAATAGTAAATTAATAAAAATGATGATGACAAATGCCTAGTTATATATCAGACACCATGCCAAGTGCTCTATATATACTATCTTGTACAGTCCTCACACCAACCTAATAATTCCCATCATATAGATGAGCAAACTGAGGCATTAGAGAGGTTAGGACACTTGCCCAAGGTCAGACAGCTGGAACTGGCCAGAATCTAGACAGGAACTCCTACAGTCTGTCTCCAGAGCCCAAGTTCTTAACCACTAACCACATGATAAGTAAGACATTGTGGATGATGATGATGATGATGACAACGACAACGACAACGACAACAAAGGTAATGAGACGTTCTGGGCAGCTAGGGAAGGTGAGTCACTGAAGGAAAGAATCTGCCAAGAGTAAGAGGAAATGAAACTGGGAACGGCCTTCCGATTCCAGCCTAAAGCGATCACTACTAACCTATGCAACAAGCTGGCACCTAACATAGAAGGAACACTTCATGTTCTCTCTGAACCACAGGGCTTGATCCTGAAGATAAACACCAGGCAGGAAAGTGGGTCTTTGATACAAATCACAGGGCACAGCAATTCTATGAGTCCTCACCCAGAAGCTACAATGGGAGTGCAATTTAATAAATCAAAGGAGGGTGAGGAAAGCCTTCATGTGCTTCCTCTGCACTAAAATGTGATTTGCAATAAATTCTGTTCACTGCTGAGTCAATTCAATTTATATGTCCCTAGAGAATTAAGAGAGACTACAGAATCATTGGATTCCCAGAATTTTTTAATGGGTAACCTTTATGACAATTACCCAGGCCTTAGTGATAAAGCACAAAGAAGAATTTCTTTTAACTTATAAATTTAAAGCAATAATTAGACAAAACAATCTCACTTTTCCCCTCTAGTACACAGCTGCATAAATACTTGAATCAAAATCTGCACAAAATGAAGGTGTTGGATAAATAAATTCAT